AAGGGCCTTGAAGGTCTTCTAGTCCACCACCACCCCTGCTTAGGCACGAAACCCTACACCACACTTTAGACATATGGACATCCAATCTCTTCTTAAAAACTTCCAGTGTTGGAGCATTCACAACTTCTGGAGGCAAGTTGTTCCACTGATTAATTGTTCTAACTGTCAGGAAATTTCTCCTTAGTTCTAGCTTGCTTCTTCCCTTGATTAGTTTTCACCCATTGCTTCTTGTCCTGCCCTCAGGTGCTTTGAAGAATAGCTTGATTCCGTCTTCTTTGTGGCAGCCCGAGATATTGGAACACTGCTATCATGTCATTTTTTTCATTAAACTAGACATACCCAGTTCCTGCAACGGTTCTTCATATGTATTAGCCTCCAGTCCCCTAATCATCTTTGCTGCTCTTCTCTATACTCTAGTCTCCACATCTTTTTTACATCGCGGCGACCAAAACTGGATACAGTATTCCAAGTATAGCCTTACCAAGGCACTATAAAGTGGTATTAACATTTCATGTGATCTTAATTCTATCCCTCTGTTTATGCAGCCTAGAACTGTGTTGGCTTTTTTGGCAGCTGCTGCACATTGCTAGCCTATATTTAAATAGTTGTCCACTAGGACTCCAAGATCCCTCTTACAGTTACTACTATTGAGCGAGGTATCACATATATTGTTCCTGGCATTTTGCTTTTCTTGCCTAAATGTAGGACCTTGCTCTTTTTCACCATTGATTTTTTTATATTAGATAGCACCCAATGTTCAAGTCTGTCAAGAACCTTCTGTATCTTAAGCCTATCTTCCGGAGTGTTGGCTATTCTTGCTAGCTTGGTGTCACCTGCAAATTTGATGAATTCCCCATCTATCCCTTCATACGGTTTCCTGCCTAAACAGGGTGTTGGATTAGAAGTCCTCCAAGGACTCTTCCAACTCTGTCATTCTGTTTTCTGTGTTTCTTTTCTATTGCATGGAGTGGCGCAATGAAGATTTGTACTCTATGATGAAAACAGGAAATGGATGATAAAGGATACCCTTTCAGAACCATCTTTTGAACCTCAGGGCAATTTCAGGGAGAACTATTTTACAATTGTATATCCTACTTGTTCTCAATGTTACATGGGCAGCAGACGTAAAAATGGTAGAAAAATCAACTTTGGATTGATTTGAAAGAGTTCAGAGACACAAAAATAATGAAAAATTATGTCAGGTGGATTTGATCTTAGTTATTTGTATCCTATAAACCTTTTAACTACTCCATATACAAAAACTGGCTTAATTAAAAGAGAGTTTTGAAAAGCAATAATCCAATGTATTTGGTTTAAGGCAATGTTTCTCAAACTTAATGACTTCTGAAGTCCATATTTCTTAAAGTATGGACTTGAATTCTCAGCATTCCCCAGCCTGTGTTGAGAAACACTGTTCTAAACCATTCATAAACAGCAAATGTCTTAATACACAACTCATTTAATATAATTTTAGTTTCTTGGATCAGCCAGAAAAGTTCAAAACCTCTAGCAACAGCTCCATAAATTTCCATAAAAGGCATGAACTAAATCCAGAAAAAAACAGACAGAGATGAATTTTCCTGCCCCTTCTCTCCCAGCCAAAACCCAAACCCCATAAAAATGTTGTTTCAGAAACACAAAGGACAAAGGGAAAAATACTTTAGAAGTAGACACAGGATTGCCGGCCTCTTAATCTTACACATGTAGAACTCTAACCTTTTTAATATGTAGTTCAAAAGCAGACTGCGCAAGCTACATAATTCCTGAATTCAGTGCTGCTCCAGGCTCAATGCCATAATAGCTTCCAATGTTAAATGAACAAAAATTATTATAACAGCTCAGCCTTGTTTCTACTGAACTGACTGCCTTTAGCAAACAAACTTTTCCCTTAACAGTAAAACATTCAACAGGACTCATTTTGTGCAATTCAAGTCCTTTCACAAAGAAGCACATGTATATTTTAATGAAATTTACTTTAGCAATTTCCCTTATGACAGTTATGACTCTCTACCTTGCCAATTCATTCCACACCAAAAAGCAATACATTCGTGCAGTTTGTTTAGAATTCACCTGGTGGCCATTAAAAGCCTTACTGTATACTTCAACAACAGAATCAGATGTGAGATTGTTTTTAATTTTTGAATGAATTCCAACAAATCTTATGCCTCAAAGAGCTGCACCTAATGAAGATTTGATACTAATGGCCCATTATCTCAATTCTTTCAAGCACATTTCCTTTGCAATATGCAGCTGCAACGAAAACATTAGTTTTGTTTGGACACCATGCAAAAAGAGACAGTTCTTAGGATATGATCGGGTACTCTTATCTGTGAAACAAGGCCCTTTGAAGTGGATTACTTTACTTTCTCTAGTCTAAACTGATGAGTGTTTAGTATCATGCTACCAATGATTTGATTGTATCCATTGTATATAAAATGGAAACGAGGTTTTTCTATCTGGTTCAGATAATCCAAAATCTATAGGTAAAATCTTAATCTGTCTTCTATCAAGACCCCTACGCAACTCCACATTACATCTAAGAGATAAACCTTAGAACAGAGTTGAAAAAATATCTTTTAATTTTGAATTTTTTAAAAAAAGTTTAATATTTACAGGAAGCCATAAAGTAAAGCTTTGAGGTGAGGTATCATCAATATGCTGATGATACACAGCTTTACATCTCCACTTGGTGCTATGATGCCTATGAGATTCTCTCTCAGTGTCTGGAAGTAATGGGAATCTGGATGGGACTTAATAGGCTTCAGATACACAGGCAATGCCAAGTGGCTTTGTGTTTTTGGAACTTTTGGTTTGGGGAACCTTTCATCTTTGTTTCTTGGTGGGTGGCACAGTGCAGAGAGACCTCATGCACAATCTGGAGGTCCTCCTGGATTCACAGCTTCTGGTCAAAGAGGTGGGATATCTATGTTAAGTAGACACTGGTAGTTACTTTTAAAGTTTTTCATGGCTTAAGTCTGGATTACTTATGGGACCATCCCTCACCAATTGTTTCTACCTATCCCTCCAAGTCTGGCAGGGGTGGTCAGCTGGTAGAGCCCAGGAAGAGCTCCATTTGTGTTGTGGCAATCATCCGGTGGACACATTCCACCTAAGATTAGGTTACACCCTGACCTTGCTGGCCTTTAACAGGTCCCTAAAAATGGGACTTGTACTGGGACGTGGGACCTCCGAAGTGTGATAGAGCCCATCTCTTGGTTTTGTTGACAGTTGTTTTATAATACCCATCTGCTACAGTATGCGTTTAATTTTAATTATGTGTTTTGTTTTTTATCTTTCATTGTAAGCCTCTGAGCGTAATGTATGAGAAATAGACAGCTATATAAATTAAATAAACAATATTTGAATTACCTCTCCTATGAATACAATCATAACACAATCCAATTTTTCTTCAGGTGACAGCTTATCAATCAGCGAGTGAAGAGTTTCAGTAAGGTAAGATTTTACTTTTCTCTTGACAGTTGGAATACCCATTACTATAGAAACTAAAAAACAAATAGATAAATCAGTTTCCTAGAACAAAAAAGAAATGCCTTTTTTTCTGTTTTTGAATATACTTTTGATTGCCTTTTAGGTTATTCTGCATTGTTTTCTGTACTCTTAATATGTAGCCCCAAGCATTTCCAATAAGTATTCTGAAAACAGGTTGCATAAAAGAGCATTTTACAGGGTTAATCCTGCAAAGGCAGGCAGGCAGGAAGGAAACATTCTGGTGTTGTTTCTAACCTAATCTTTATTGCCCTGCTTACAGAAGCTGCCTCTCCGGTTAACCCTTATTACATTGTAACACTAAGGCGAAGCACCCATTGAATGGTCATGCCCACCCAGTCACATGACCACAAAGCCACACCTACCCAGCTGGTCATTGGGGCAGAGAACTGGTTGTTAAATTATCTGAATCCCACCACTGGGCCAAGGTGGGTGATTAAGCTTATCTGTGATGCTTGTATATGTTTTCATGGCCATATCAATTGTGTGTTGATTATATTTTTGGTTTTTGGAGGTATGGGGGTTTTTGGTTGATTTTTGTGTTTATTTCTACTGTTGATGATGTTTTCACAAGACCCAGAATCCTGATTTGTTGGGAGGTATGGCCTTATAAATCTTTTCAATACTGGTAGTCTTAATTAGTGACTATCATTGGGACAAGCAATGGTTAAACAAACTTGTTACTAAGCTAAATTGCAACTATGTTTATGATCTTATTTCAGCCAGGTCACTAAAGAAGGACTACATGTAAATATATAAACATTATACATGGGGAAATTCTGCCTTGCAAACTTCTAAAATTCTAATCAAGCAGCCATAATTTTTCTCAGGCACATTATTTGTTTAGTATTATACATTCTGTACAGAAAATATACATTTACTATGATGTGTAAAGTCTATTGTAATGTGCATGTTTTTCTACAATATGTTCAATGGCTATTCTAATTACTCTGGAGTCATTTGTACACATTATTTAAGCAAAGACAAATCAATAACTGAAGAAGACGAACAGAGTAAATATGACATTTTATTAAAGCTATTGACTTGAAATATGAAAAGTCAAAAGGACAAACTAATCCAATTCTTTATTTTACTTTTCAAGTTTTATAGAAGCTGCACAGCATCTATATTGGCTAAATTATGATCTCAAAATTTCAGTTATTTTTTTTAATTAAGGTAAATACATGCTGTTTCAAATCCATTGTTTTTCTTATAACTTAGCATCAAAACAGTAGGATTTGTATAAAAGAATAAGCAAGAAAGTTGAAAACAAACTTTTAAAAAATTCAATTTGAAATCTAAGAGATAATACAACAAAGAAAATAAAATTTCATTTTCTGCTTCTTAGAAGTCATATTGACTCTAGCTACAACAGTTTTAAGTATATGTTTAAGCACCTCGACCTATCACTCGTATCGATTTTGCTAGTTTACCTCCTGTTCGTCCGAGGCCAACATGTACAGAGGGTCGAAGGCTTCCTTCATTTTTCAACAAATGAGGCAAGTGGTAATATATATTTGGCACTTGAAGAGATCGTCTGCTTGTCAATTCATTTAACAACTTTAATGTTTCATCTGAAAGCAAACACAAGGGTTACATTTGCATAAGAGTCATGGGTATATTCACTTCTGACATTTTGAAAAAGTTGCATCTTTTCCTCGATTCTGGTAATACCAACAAGGCCCAGAAAAATATGCACTTGAGTTAGGGAGGTTGCAACAAGATCTTCATATGTTCTTCAAACCACTTTAATGTCAATGAATATTCAAGTGAATATCTTTCTGGGGCTATCTAAATATTTATTCAAGTGAATATCTTTCTGGGACTATGCATCCAGGCAAGCCCAGGAAAAGGGGCATTTTTTAAAAGAAGCAGCTGACAGGTGACAGCAAGCACACCACTTCCTTTTCAGAACACGTTTTTCTTTTAACATCCAATTAACCAAAACAGTGCATCGTAGGGCAACAATTTTTAATCGAAGTACTTCAAATTCTCTAACTCAAAGAATTCATAGAACAGGACCTCTTATTCCCATGTAATTGAAATTTCAAATATTTTCGCACACCTGGGTTTCTTTTTTGCCAAATTATGCTACTAGAGTGCCCCTGTGGTCAGCCACTATCACCAGATTTTGATTTCTGACACTCCCTGCCAGCTTCCCACAAGCAAAGTCAATAGGGAAGCTGGCAGGAAGCTGGAAGTTGCTCTCACACTGTTTTTTTTTTCTGTCCGTTCTCCACCCCAAATCATTCTATTTATCTCCTTAGTAAACACTGACAAATGAGTATAATCTCTTAATAAAATTTACACTATGACTTAATGCAATGGACCAAATATAAGATATAGACTAGAGCACCAAATAATAATAATAATAATAATAATAATAATAATAATAATAATAACAACAACAACAACAACAACAACAACAATTAGATAGTCCAATGGTGCAAAAGAAATGGAAGCAACCTCTCATACATCATATTATTCAACCACTTTAAGAACAGAAGCAACATTTCCATTTAAGGTGGCAGATGTTTGGAATTCATCTGTCAAATCTGTCAAAGCAGCCAGATTTTTTAAAGTTTGCCCTTTGAGGGATTCTATTGTCTTCCTTCTCTGCTTCTATTCCATCTCCTGGCTCCTAGGCTGCAAAACCAAATCAACCAAACAAGCCAACCACTGGATAGTTGCAAGGGTTAGAGTTTTTTATATCACTTTGCTATCATAGACTGGTCTCTGGGTTTCTGCCTCTCAAGATTTTTTGGTTGGAAAGGGAAAAACAAATGGCTGAGACCTGAGTTAAGCCTATAAGCAATACTATCTTCTTTAAATATATCTCTGTTGCTCTGATCATCAAATAAATAAATCACATATCTCCCTTGTTTCCATATAGATGGAGAAGAAAGCAAAGAGCACAGTAAAAAGCAGGCATATATGTGTGTATGACTGGGAGAAGAGTTTGAATAGGTTTAATGAATGCATGCCTAACATTAATCTTTACTAAATCTCATGACAGAATCAACACTCTCAAAAGAAAGGCAATAGTAATAAAGAGAAGTAATAAATAAAATTAATATTTCTGATTCAATTGAATACGAAAGCAAGAAGAAATAACATAAAAGCGGTTTTGTATTGGAAAGGAGAGACCTAGTGAGAATAGCAAGCCCAATAATCTGCAAATTCATCAATTTGTACCTGAAACGCTGCTCAATGCATCCTTACTTCCATTTGTTTCTGCTACTGCCTGTCTGAATTGCTCCAAGATGGTATTTAATTCAGAAGAACGTTGCAGGGTTCTGTGCTCAGCTATGCGAAGGCGTTCCTTCAAAGCATGAAACTCTCTTTGATAAGCAATGAGTTTTTCTAGGAATAGAAAAGTTCAAGTGACTTTCTGTCAAAAATAAAATAACACTTCCCAACACAGATCAAAGTCCAACTTTGGCTGTTTCTGCACAATTGATTGCCATTCATTGTTACAGAATGAACTGTCATAATGCTTATTCTACAGAGGTTTTTTTTAATTGAATTCCATTAATAAAAAGAAATGTCACAAGGTTCTAAAACGTAATATAAAATTTTGAAACAAGTTTGACGCTTGAGTCTAAATCTATATATATAAAAGTGAAATGCCATTCATGCATCATCACTAAATCTCCAAAACCATAAAACCTACAAACTTCAAATTTGCCATCTTGGCTTCTAGGTGCTCATTAAGAAATGATTTTTCAAAATACCCATCAAAGCATTAGTATTTCCTATATTATTATTAACACGCTCTCATGCTAAAGAGTTCTACTCCCAACCTGAAAAGAAATTTGTTCCAAATCCAAAACACAAGCAGAGGAAAAGAGATTCATTTTCAGTTTTACTTTCACTGCAGGAAGCAGCTTTACTACAGGACAATTGAGCTAAGCCACACCCAGGCTCCTTCCTGTCTCCTTGCTCACACAGCAAATACTGTTTGAGTTTCCAAACACCCCTCAACTCTCTCACACACTGATGGGACACTAGCCAGATGAATACCAATGGATGCTGGTAGGCAAAGACAGATTTTTTTCCCCTTATTTTCTTCCTCAGTTCAGACAAATCTGTTGCTTCTACTGTAAAAGGGAAAAGAGGCAAAAAAACAAAGAAAAAGATTTACAGATGGGATTAGGAAAACACAAGTAAGGGAAACTGCACACAAGTATCCTCAAACTCATCCCTAAGTCAGTAAGTCTGTAAAAAAGTATACATCTAATAACCTCTACGTTAATCAGTCACAAATGAGATCAATGCCTTGAACTAATAAGTATTTGTCTGATTTTAAATATGAACCTCCGCTTGATTACTCCAGGAACAAGGTTGTTGATCTCGGACTCCTGTTACACTGTGCCTGGTGCTGTGCTCTAAAGTGGCAGGTTGAGAGTTCCAGGATGTGTTGCAGTGGCGATAAAGTCCACCTCCCTCCCCTTCAGCCTACACTGAACACTTACACAGCCTTCTCACCCGCCAGCATCCAATGGCAAAGCACTTTCTTTCTGCTGTCCGGAAGTACAATGGATGCTTCCAAATGACATCTTTTGGAGTCAGAGAGGTGAAGGAGGGAAATTTTATGCCAATATTCAAAGTGCAGGGGCAGATCTACCACAGGGCAGGGAGTATCATGGTAGGGTCTCAGCAGCAGCCTTCATTTCTCCAGATATACTTTGTTTATGATGATGAAGGTGAGAGGGACATCTGTTGTGGAATCTAACCAGGCGTTAATCCGCAACTGGTTAGCCAACTGCATAAGTTGTTGCGTGAACACAACAAGTATATTCTGGAACTTAAGGCTGCTGTTGATTCTGTTCCTAAGGGCCACAAGAATTTCCAAGTGGTAGTTAAGGCTGATAGTGTCAGCACTCCTTCATTGGATAATCAGGAAAGAAAACCACAAGACTCCATTGATAGAAATCAAGTGTACTTTTAC